TGGTCCGGGAATCTCATCTTGGATCTGGGGGCCTGTTCCCTCTAAGGGTATTGAATCCTAGACCTGGGAGGATAGAAAATGAATGAGAAGTGTAACAATGTGTAATATGTTTAGTGCCTGCCCCTGTGTGCATCTCTGGCACGATGCTCTGCCAAAAGTTGCATAATTTTCTTTTCTAGATTGTCATAAAATGTATATACATGTTAGGTTTGTTTATGCCTTATATTTCCAAATACATTCACATCAACTGTATATTTGTCTGTATACTGTACAGACAAATAAACAAAGATACATTTACAGTTGATATAGAGCACTTTGGCACTAGAGTGCTTTCTGATTCTGAAGTAAATTAAGAACTGGTAAGTAAAAAGGTTCTTTTGGGGAAACTGGCCATTCTTTCTAGCCCTTGGTGAAACTGCAAATGTAGTATTGCCCAATAAGCACTTAAATTCTGTAATAATGCAGCACTCCAAGGCACATTGAATCCCCTACCATTAGAAGTTTAGTACAAAATATCATAATCCCTAAAGCAGAAAAAGATTTAATCAATAATTTAAAAAACTTTAACCAAGTTCAATGTACAAAAGCAAATTAAACCTGCAAACTACAGATAAAGGCAATGAAACAAAACACTGTAAAAAAAAAAAAAAAAGGTATTTAATATATAAACCAAGCTTATTTCATTTTTCTGAACATAAGAAAAAATAACTCATGCTGAGATTTAATGCAAAGCTGCAGGTGTGGCCATCACACCCATCAAGAATTAGCAGCTAGATAGAACGCCCCCCTGTGCTACTCAATCAATTGAACAAAATATAACAATGTTTCTGATTCATTTCTTTGCTAACCCTTTTTTTTTTTTTTTTTTGCTTCCTCTTTTGGTTAGAGGAAGAAGGAAATGTCACATCAGCTCACCTTTAAAAGCTTTCTCTTAAGAATTACAATCTCTCTCATGCTGCCATTAGCTTTTAATATGGTCTCTACAACAATGGTGATACTGAGCAGAGGCGTCCCCAGAAAGTATGCTAATTTTACTCATAGTCTGAGTGCTAACCTGAACTCTGCACCTACTGTTGAACTCAAACCATTAAGCAGAGAGAGGTCACACAGTCAAGAGCATTTTTCGCTGTTTCAAAAAAGTGCAAAGTGTCTTTGAAAGAAGATATGCATCCAAGCACCCAGCCTTCTTTTTTGACCCGGCAGGGCGATAGATTCTTGGAGGGTGGGTAATGGACCATTCAGACACTGTTATGGAAAGGTGGACCTCTCAAGCTTTTACACGAGCTGTGTCACTGACCTGAATCTTTGCAGTGTTCTCTGGTGTGCACTCTCTCACCCGTGTGGCAGATTATCCAGCTGTCTGCTTACCCCAGCAAGGCCCCACGTTATGCCTGGAGGAGTCCAGGATTCTGCTGAGAGCATTAATGTGCTCCCCTGTTCTGCTGTGCAGGTGAATTAAATTATTATCCACTACAATTGTAGCTGTGCTATTTGGAGTTCAGCATCATTGCGCACCAAATGAAATATGAAGTGACTGCAGATGCCTTTGCAAGCTGATAATGTTTCATCATGTTGAGATATTTGAAACTGATTAAAAATGAGGAAATAGAGGGGGAAAGATGTGCATACAAATCAGAGATTTGTCTGTTGGCATTTAAAGAGATGCTTTCACTTTTTTTGTTTAGGAAAAACTGAAATATGTAGCATATAAACAAATTGTGTTTTTGGCAATGGGCTATGTATTGACGTTGTAACCTTTCAAGTGCAATTGGGCCACTAGATGGTACTAATGTATCACTGGTCAACCCTAACCTTTACAAAGGTTTACTGCCTTTCTGCCCCGGGTGACTGATATCGGTATTTCTGCAAAGCTGTCTGTTGCTTCAGTAGCCAATCTGCCTCCGTTCTCCTTTGTTTTAGAGGTACGTCTAAACTCCAAACATTTTGCGATGGGTTCAAAAACTGTCTGGTTTCACTATGGATGGCATGTGAAGGCAAGTTATCTACATCCCAACAAAATTGCCTGTGTCATTTAGCAGGGACACACCACATATTACAATGTTTTCTGAGGCAGTTGTTTCTCTGAATGCAATCCATTAATCTGCTCTGCAGTCACATATCAATATAGTGAATTTGATTGAAGGGCTTCTGAATTTCATAGTTCTTGTAACTGCACCCCTTAACACAATTGCTCTCACTAGAAATTGCATGTATAGACTTTTTTGACAGCAGCACAGAAGATTCAAAGCATGCCATCTAGCTTTACATCAATAAAATGCATGCACCCAATTTCTATGCTTTTTGAAAAATTCAACCAACTTGTGAAATGACTTCAGAAACCTTCAATGCAATTTATTTTTCCCCCTCAGCATAGGAGCTTTACTGTATATTTTCTGTGTGAATTATTCTCCGAGGTAAACTGAGTTGTGCAAACCGTTCATTCTGCCAAAACAACTTGACTGTGTGTCAGAAAAATGGATGGATAACCATCCATAGCCTTCAGTCAAAAGAATTTATCTCTAACCAAAGGAGGGGGAAAAATCACATTCTGGGGAAGATACATGGATATTTATTCAGTGCCTGACTTTACTCTGAAATAAGCTTTTCGTGTGAGAAAGCCCTTGTATTTGCTCCAGGTAACCTTTGTGTGCACCTCTCTCCATGTGGAGAGGAAGTTTCAAGGTAGGCAGTGCGATTCCATAAGACATGGGCATTTTTTATGTAGCTCGTCACATTTTATATTTCACCATATTATAATCAATGTGTCTACATATATTTGTAATCAAAATGCCTGATTTTTCATCAAACTTCTTTTGAGAACGAACCATTGATATTTCAGTCGAGTAAATTTCTACGCTGTGAGATCAATAAAGTCAACCAATCAATTACTGGGTTGCTAACCCCTAGGCCTCTTACCGTTAAGTATTATATGCTCGCCCATAGTACATGTCGTAACTTGTCCTAAGCCAGTACTTATATGGGAGACGGGAACAAATGTCAAACAATGATCTGTCCATGATAGCTGGAACTGAGCCCAATATAAGGGAAACCGGCAGGTGGATGAGATGAGTGATAATAAGAAGCTGAATAGAGTTAAGCAGGTGAAAGGCATGAGTAATTAAGGTGAGCTATCAGGGCAGATCATGACATTATTTGTCACTAGGGGACTTCAAATCTGTCAAGGCTCAGAACAGGAATAGAATTCGAAGCAAACAGACAGTCATAATTCTTAAAACCGTTTATTAAGAAACGTCAGATCTGAAATTCAGCAGCTAGGGCATCAAAGGCTGGAATCTCTGTAGAGGGAAAACTCAGGTTAGTGACCATTTAAATCTGACGGAGGACGATAAAAGAAGCAAGTCACTAGCAAGGCCAGAAGATCAGCGATCCAAAGAGGTACTGAGGGGGAATCCAAGTCGAAGTCAGGAGGCAGATCCAGGTTCGGTCCACAGGCAGGAATCCAGAGACAGGTCAGACCAACAAATCCAAAACAGGAACAGGTAGGCTCAAAGGTCCAAAGACAAACGGGTCAGGATTGGGCAAGCACTACACAAACAGGTACGCTATAGAGCAGTGTTTCACAAACGGGGGGTGTGTGTACCCCTAGTGGTCCACAAGTGCATTGCAAAGGGTACATGAAAATATTTTAGTTCTCAGGTAATAAAATAAAAGAGAGCTGGGACCTGTTCTGCTTTATGAGGACCCACCTGTAAAATAAAACAAGTTTTTATCACCTAAAACGTCTGTTTTCTTATATGTTTTAGTTCACCTTTGCTTTGACACACATCAAAACCAAGCTGAGGAAAAGACTGTATGCAAAGGTGGAAAGTATCGAAATACATTTACTCAAGTTACTGTATTGAGTAGGTTTTTTGTGTATTTTGTATTTTTCAAGTAGTTTTTAAAATCGGTATTTAAAATTTTACTTGATTACGTTTTGAGTGAAGTATTGTATTTCGATACATCACAAATCCCATCCGTTACTGAGTAAAAAAAAAACTTAGGAAAACCGAAAGGAAGACAAAAAATCGGGCCCGGAAGCACTACAGTGAGTGACGTGATCAGCATGTAGATCTAGGCTACCAGGAGCCAAGTCTTTCTGTAGGAGATTGGGAACGAGATGGAAGGTGGATCAGGAGAGCGACGATGGTTCAGAGAACGTTTCACTAGAAATGCTAGCTGAAACATCGAATTCTGCTGCCCAAAATGCCGAAAATCCTTGGCCACATTTGAAAGACTGCTTTTTATTTAAATTCAAGAGGGCCAACAGTATCATCATGCAATGCCAGATGTGTCTGCCAAAGGTGACTGAACTAGCAGCATTCAATAACTCCACATCTAATCTGCGGAAGCATGTTTTGGTAAGTATTTAGTGCATTGGTACTTCAAACAAAGTTTTCATGACTAATACCCAATTAGCAAAACAACCTGTTTCGTGGCATTGCTAATTTTGTCTAGCACAGGGGTCGGCAACCCGCGGCTCTTTCATTCTTATACTGCGGCTCTAAGTGGCTTGGAAAAATAAACCGCTGAAAGAAAAACTAAGTATTTCATTTAAGTCAGTTTTTCCCACAGCACTATCTTGGCGAGGTTGGCAACAGTTTTTTTTTTTTTTTTTTTTATGTAACTAAGTAACTTTTACTTAAAATACATTTAAATTAGCTACTTATTACTTTTACTTGAGTAATTTTTCTGATGGGTAATTTTACTTGTACTTGAGTAATATTTCATCCAAGTATTGGCACTTTTACTTGAGTATGATATTTTTGTACTTATTCACCTCTGACTGTATGTAGAGAACAGCTTGGGATCAGCTGTTTTTCCACACCTGAGCTCATCAAAGCAAGGTCAAATGTCATTAGTGATGAAAACAATGTAAAATATGTCAAGTCAGTCTGACTATAATTTTTGATCTGTATTTTGTTATCAATTCCTTAAGTTTAAATGTGATTATAGGAGATATTTATAGTAATTTTATTTTGTATTTATTTTGATTCTGTTGGGATCTGGAGATCTGCCACCTTCCTCCAGCAGAGAGCGCCCTGGGTGTCCTGAGATGAAGCCACCTACACACCTGAGGCTGATTCACCTGATTAGGAGACCCACTACTTAAGCAGCGGCCAGACCTGTCTTCAGCGCCGGAGTGTTGACCAGTTTTGGTTAGCGGAACCTGAGCCTCAGTTTGCATTGAGAATCTCTGTCTGCTCTAGAGAGCAACCTGATTCTAACCAGCCTCTGTCTTCTCTGCTCACAGGAAAACCCGACTGAAGTCTGTAGCTCTGGAGGAGCTCGTGCTTGGAAACCTGCCTGCCTGCCCAGAAAAGCCAAACCTGAAGATTCTCAGTCTGAATTCCCCAGCTAGTTCTCAAGGGAGGACTAGGAGAACAACTCAAGGTCTGAACCTCGTTAGCCTGAAGCTAAACCCTGCCGCTGCTGAGCTCTCTGCTGAATCCACAGTCTCTGGACCCAACCGGTTCCCTCTCTCTATCGATCAGTCTGAACATCATCAGGTACAAACCAGAATCAAACCCCTGACAAGTCATCGCTGCTACCTGGCTAACCAAACAATCCCTCTCTGCAGATTACTCTGTGATTCCAGTCCCGGACCAGTACCAAAACCTGTTCATTCATAAATCTTGTGTGCTTCTCTAAATAAACTGTTAAACTTTTACTCCGTTTCCTGTGGTGTTCTGCATGTGGGTTTAATCACAGAGACCCATCATGACAGATTCCTTACTAAGTTCCGGAAAAAGTATTTATATTGTGTTTTTTTTATTAGTTGGAAAGAATATCATGCCAAATAATTAAATGCTCAAGTTAAATAGACTATAAATATAATTGAAGGCTCAAATAATCTGGCACTGATGACTTGGAGCAAGTAGTTTAAACAGAGACTAGAGCAGGTGACACAAGTGAACAGTGATGAGAAACTGGGCGGAGCTAGACAGGTGAATGGAATGAACCATAAAGCCAGTTATCAGTTCCAGGATCATGAAAAAATCTGATACCAGAAAAATCACATGCGAGGTTCCTAAAGACTCCCTTTTGGGGCCTCTACTGTTAAATATCTACATGCCCCCCTCAGCTTAGATTATTGCAAAGAACAAGATTAGTTACCATAAATATATAGATGAGGTACAGCCTTACATCACAAATTCACCAGGTGATGATGAATCCATCGCACTGTTGGCCAAATGCTTAGAACAGATTAATAAGTGGATGTTCTAAAATTCTCTTAGACTAAATATAAGCTAAACTAAGGTAAGGATCTTTGAAGCAAAGACAAAGAGATCCAGAGTTAGCACAGATCTTAGGCTACTAAAGATTGAGATCACCAATCTGGCATAAGTCAGCTTGATACATGTAGTTCAGTTTGTATTATACACAGTATCAATCTCATAAAATGACAAAGTGGGTAAATGACCAAGTGACAAATGGTCCATGTTGAGCTTGTAGCCAATCACAGCAGCAATATCAGCTGTGACGTATCCCATTCTTGATTTGTTTGACAACTAGATGAGTTAACTATTAAATTAAACTCTTAAAGCTACAGTGTGTAATTTTCAGCGACATCTAGCGGTCAGACTGCAGACTGCAGCAACATGAACGTCTCCCCCCCACCGCTTCTCCCCCCCAACAGTACGGCGAGCGTTACGGGACAAAATGTCTTCCACGACGTCCGCATCACCTACCTTCTCAAGTGATGAGATTTGTTTACATAGATAATTTTACAGATAGTATTTCATTAGTCTGTGTAGGGTATAGATTTCATGTAGACTTAAGATAATAAATATACCCGTTATTTTTTCTACGTCGTTGTGACGTTTTGGTGAGCTGCTTTGCATGGTGATATAAACAGACGAAGTAATTGTAGTCATTAGTTTAACAGCGAGATTGTGTTCGCTGGAAGAATATATATTCCCCGTTTACAGAGTCCAAGTCTTGTTTGTGGCACGGGGGTTACAAGGCAAGGAAGAGGGAAAGGAAGAGGGCAGAGAGGCCGGGGTGAGCGTGCAGCTGGGGCCAGGCGAGAGAGGGGAGCCAGCGGGGTGAGAGCAGAGGAGGAAAGGCTTGAAGATCTCCAAAGGAGCCGGAGAGAAGTAACCGAGGTATATATCCAGAAAATTATTTTACAGAAAATTACTGAATCATTACCTGTGAAACGTCAGGGACGTTGCTGAATAAGTATACTGGAGAGTAACAGCATCATCACGCAGCATGTTATTGTTTTAGACAGGTCTGAGCATCCTGTACTCCAAAAACTGCAGTGATATTAGACAATTGTGTGTATAGGATTAATTACCTGTCCAAGAGAAAACTGGCAACTTGAGCGTCACTTTGAAAACCTTTTTCCTCCATCAGTGACTTCCATCGTGTAAATGCCGTGCCAATGTTGATCCGTGTTTTTTGTCGTTTCTTGTCACTCTTGCGTTTATTCTCGTCGTGTTTCCGCTTCTTAGATGACGGGGGTTCGGTGTCCGCCGCTTTTCGTTGTGATACAGAGTAGGCATGATCCTCCATTCGTCTGATGTTTGGCCACACAGTGCCAAACAGTTTGCAAAGTCACTCACGCCTGCCGCCTTGTTCACCTTTCTTGTTACCGAGGCGCAGTATACCTGCTTCTTCTTCTTCTTTGGTTTCAGGCAGACTAAACGCTTCTCAGGCATAATACTGCCATCTACTGTTCAGTACCGTCTCAGTTCATCTCTCTCAACTTGCCGTAGTTATTTTCGAGCGTCATGGGAGATCTCGCAATCGCTAGTTTGTTGCCTCTGCGCTGCCGTAGCGCAAAGATGTCAGCCTCCATGGCTGCGAGACCCGCTCCTATGTAATTATAAATAACGAATTCTAAGGCAACGCAAATGTTATGGTTAAAAGGCTGAGCTCATAGGTGATGATAAATAACATAGTTATGTATAATATATTAAATTTCTGAATTTATATGCCTGTAATTATTACACACTGTAGCTTTAAGCCGGGCTTACACTGTGCGATTTTTTGCCCTATTTGGGGCGATTTTCCAGTAATGCGAGAATTTTCTTAGTCCTGTCCCTAATGTCCCTAATGTGAGTATGCTTACCCAAGAAACTTCAATGATCCAGACTACCATATGGTGGATTCAGCCTCCAAGTCCAAGTTAAGGTTGTTACTTGCTGGTCCTCTCTCTGTGGCTTTCTGTCATTAGGATTCTTCTGTGAAGCATAGCAACCATTCCAGTTTTCTGTTTACAAATTTGTCTCTTCTTCCACAACTAATTTCAGCTTCCAAGTATTTACAGTTTGGTCCTTGATTTGAATGGCTAAACATATAACCCATACACAACAAAAGACTTCAGAATATTGTTGTAGTACTTGAGATAGGTGTTGGTCTCGATTTTTCGAGATTGGTCTCGAGCATTTTTACTTGGTCGTGTCTCAGTCGCGAACACGGCAGTCTCGGGGGTTTTTTAAAGGAGAAGGTCAAGACTATTGATAGGCTTTCTCCATACCTTACTAGTAAGAGTAAAAAAGGACTGTCTCAAAACAGTGGATAAAAATCATTAAGTCATGGGTAATGTAATGATTTCCCCGAGATGCAGTCACCACCTGCCCATTTCCAGTATAACACTGACTGATATACCCCCTTCTCTCTTGAGTGTAGAGAAGTATGAGAGTAGAGGACGAAAGCAGCTGCATGGAAAAAAAGGAAAAGCAAAGACTCATCTCCAAAATGTTAACAAAGCATACCTTACTGAAGTGTCAGCTTTTCACACAGCTCACTTAAATTAGCTGGTAATGACTCTTTATTTTATCCATTATTTCTCTCTGCAATGAACAGTTTATGCATTTAAAACAGTGACGTTTCATCTGGCTTTACAGGGGAAAATGAACAATGACTGAGGAAAGCATTAAAATATAGTAACACTGGAACACAATGGGTAAGTTCAGCAAGCCCAGATGGTCCAGTTCCGGTGGGGTTAAAGGACTCACAAAATGGCTACTACCATGTGGCCAGTAATGAGGTAGCTTGGATCTAATGATGCTAGCCAGTACAACCATAGTAGTCTAACAAATGGAAAAAGACAAATTGCGCAGACAGTGACAAACAGCATGGATCATTCATTTAGGTCAGGGAGCATCAGCATTCAGTTCAAGACTCTTAATTAAGAACAATCAGGGGTTGAATCAGAAATACAACACAAAAAACAAATGTAAAAATATCTATTCTATCTATATCTGGCCCAAGCAGAGTATCTATTAAGAATCATATGGAAAGAGGGGAAAGGAGGTTTACTTGTTGGCTCAGTGGAGTGGATGGAAGGGGGTTTGGTCCAGTCCCAGAGTCAAACTTGTTTAGTTTCAGTAACACAGTCCATTCATCTAACAGGCAGCTCTTCGAGAGATTTGATTTGTTCTGATACAAATAACAGAGGCAGATACAAGGATAAATTTTATCACTCACAGCAGCCTTTGACATCATATTTGATACCTCTGCATCATCAGAGGGATATTTCTGTTCTTGAAAACCCTGACATACAATCAGACACGTGTAGGAAACAGATAACGTAGAAAGAAGTATACAGAAATTCTAATGTATCAAAATTGATACAAATAAATTATCCAATTTAACTAAATATATGTCGTTTTTAATTTGTCAGAAAGTTCAATGACAACTCTAATAAAAATATTTTTAAAAATTGTCAATTATTTCAGGCTTCATGCTTTAGAGGGTGAAACTGCAGCAGTTCTAGCATACAGCATATTTAAAGTTTTCCTTTTTTTTTTTTACATAAACACCGATCATGAACTTTCTTACTCCCATCATGCATCGTGTCCTCTTAAAGGGGTATTATCATGACGAAATGTATGAAATACAAAAAATAAAAAAAAATAGTAGTTTGAGCACATATTTTTTGTCATAAACTAAATTAGTACTAGCTCAATAATAAATCAAATAAACGCTTGCCCAATGAGATAATTATCCCTATCAAGTTTAACTTTATCACGTTCTACACTATTCTATTTCTAGGGCTCTACAGCAGCACAGCTCCAAAAAGGCTTATTCGATAAAAAAAAAAAAAAAAACAGCTATTCAACAAACTACCATTTAGCCCGTTTAGAAACGTGGGTCAACCAGAACTGGATAGTTTTCTCATCTGCCTAAAGAGGCTGGTTCATAAACACCGCATTCAATTCGGTTTGAAGTGCAGGAAAAAAACACGTTTTGCTCCTCGTTCTGCCAGAGACCTAAAAACTCTTCTCCGGACGGGTTTTGATTGCTCCATACGTAGCTTCAGCTGAAAACTGCCGTATGTTGCCCTTATGGAGGCCTGAAAACCACATTCAAGAGAGGGTGACACGGGAGTTGTCTTCTTAAGTAACCTCTGTTGCAGGGATTTGATTTGATTTCATGAGGGAGACACCTTCATTACATCATTGACATTTGCTCTTCAACAACCATAACACTACTTGAACAACTCAGTAGACCAAAAGATAGGGTTCGATTTGCATCTGAATTGGAATGGGCTTTGGAGAATGGGCCTCTATTTTGCTTATAACATCACTGCTCCAACTACAAATTGCACTAGTGGCAGCCGTCAGAATTGGCAAAGAGTTCTGGATAGGTGTCATAACATCTTCAGAAAAACTGAGGTAAAACCTGGTTTTCCCAATTTAAG